TAAAAAAGATAAAAAAAAAAAAGAAAAAAGAAAAAAAAAAAATAATAATTCTTTCCTCTTGTTTCAGAACTCTCTTGATAGAGCCCAAGCAGCCAAGAACAAAGGCAATAAATATTTTAAAGCAGGGAAATATGAACAAGCTATTCAGTGCTATACTGAGGCTATTAGTTTGTGCCCTACAGAGAAGAATGTCGACCTTTCCACATTTTATCAAAACAGAGCTGCCGCTTTTGAACAGTTGGTATGTATCAGAGTTTGTTTACTCTGGTTTTTTTTGTTTGTTTGTTTGTTTCTCTTTAGTTTTAAAGTTTTAGTTTCAAAATTTTGGTTAATGCTACTCAAACCTAAAATAGTTTTTGAAGTTGTTTTGAAATTGTAAGATTTTTGTTTTGAATTTATTTTCTTTGAAAATTTAAAAGATAAATTTTAGTTTTGCTGGTTACAAATATACTTCAAAGTAATATATATTTCAGGTTTTATAACATTAGGTGGTATAGAAAATTTTCTAGTGACCATACCCTCATCAATTGTGTGAAGTTATTTGCTTAATTTTTGTCTCTCTGTTTTTAATAGTTACGTATGTGGGGGCTGAGGCGGGAGAAAGACCAAAGATGGGTTCCAATCATACATATGATTGTGATGCCGTTTTCACTTGGCACCATATCTTCTGTAGATTTTCATATCACCATATGCAAGTCCATTTCATTCTTCTAAAGGCTATCTAGTAGTAGCCATTGTATAGTTGTGCTGTGGATTGATGCACAAAACAGGAAAAAAGAGTGTTGTAAACAGGAAACAGTATGTGTAATTGCTCCGTGGCAAGAAAGAATTCAGTGTGCTTAGAGCAGTATAAAAGTTCCTCAAGTATAGAGAGGTGAAACCAGCAAAGTAGATAGGACCAGATTAGGCAAAGCCTTATAGGCAGTGGTAAACAGCATGGTTTGGATTCTGAGTGTAATGGGAAATGTTTAATGATTTTAAGCAGACCAGGAATGTTATCTAAGATTACTCTCACTGTTCTGTCAAGAATCTATCGGAAGGAGGCAGTTAAGGAGACCAAGTAAGGATGCCATTGTGTCCTGGGTGAAACACAAGGAAAGAGAAGACCAACAGGACTTGCTATTGCATTACCTGTGAAGAGAAGCAGGAATCTGAATGCCAGTGGGTGGAGAAAGAGGGAGACAGCTAAGTAGATGATTGAATTGAGTAATGCCTGTATTTTAGGAGAGTGATCTGGGTTAGAGAGGTAAATTTGGGAGTTATCTAATCTTAGATGTTCTATAGAGCCAGACAATAGATGTGATCTCCTAGGAAGAAGAGACTAGATGAAGCCTTGAAGGATTCCAATATGTAGATAAGACTGAGGGGGTGAGAATTCAGCAAAGAAAATTGAGAAAGAGCAGCCAGGAGGAAGGTGGAAATGAAGTAGTGTGACTAAGACTACTCTTTGGAAGTTTGACAAGAAAGAGGAGCTGAGTGGTAGGGTAGTTGCTGTGGAAAGGTATGGAATCAAATGAGGGTTTTTTTTTTAAGATGGAAATGACTAGAACAAGTGTTTTTATGTTCATGGGGATGATTTAGTAGAGAAACAGATAATATAAAAAGATTGATGCAGAGAAAGGATAGCTGAGTGGGTGAAGGCCCTAATGTGGAGAGACTGTAGATCCAAATCTGAGTAGAGGACTGGCCTTTGATGCACAAGGCCTTCCTTGGTTTTAACAGAAGAAAAGAAGGTGATATGAGTATGTAGTGGTAGGTAGGTTTATAGATTTACTAATAGAAAGATGGCCTAAGTATGTCATTGCCTATTTTAAAAATCTGGTTTTTTGTCTTTATTACAGATATTTAAATGAACTTTTCTAATGTATTGTAGATGTTAATTCTTTCTATTGAGAATACTTTTCTATCATGGGAGTCTTAATACTCGGCCTATTAAGTTTGAGAAACTGATTTCTGTTTGAACAGTGCTTCTTTTACTGTGAATTTATTTTTTTAATACTTTTAATTACAGCAAAAGTGGAAGGAGGTGGCACAGGATTGTACAAAGGCTGTTGAACTTAACCCCAAATATGTGAAAGCTCTCTTTAGACGTGCAAAAGCCCATGAGAAGCTAGACAATAAGAAGGAATGTTTAGAAGGTGAGGGTATTTCTGTGTTTACATATGAAAATTACTAAAGGCTTTGCAGTCTTCAGTCAACCCATGAAACTCTTTGTGAGTACAGAAATCAATGGATTGTCTTTAAAAGTTAGACTCTTCCCCAGTTGAGACTTAGTCTTCTAGTTGAAGTTGAGTTTGTTGATACTTAAGTATTGCCTCTGTTCTCTACCATGGAATTAAATGAGTGTTAAGATTTGGAGTTTATTTCCCATACATTTTAAATTTGGCAGTTAATGAGAATTAGTAGAATTCCATGAATAAGAAAATCAGAAAAGACATTTTAGCAAGTGATAGCATTTTTAAAATTCTGTTTCCATCAATATCTTGTACAAATATAACATAACTTTGAGATGAATCATCAAAGAAAATATTTGTTTTTGTCCTTGGTATTTTTCAACATTATTTTATACCCAATTGGAAATATGTAATTGATACAAAGTATCCAAGCACATTGGTCATTCTCAGTAAATGCTATAAATATTCTGTGGCCTTTTTTTTTTTTTTTTTGAGATGTTTTTGCTATAGGGCTCATGCACTTGCCAGAAAGACAGAGACAGAGAGAAAAAAAGCGAGAAATCACCCCCCAGGGGATATGACTACACCACAATCGCTTCTCCCCCATTCTCCTCTTGGGATCTTGGGCACGCACGCACATGCACCCGATATGAGTTTAAGCCACCCAGGACTCAAACTGAAGTTGACTACATGGGAGTCCAGCAACATAGTCATTACGCCAACTACTGGTCCCCTGTGGCCTTTAATTGACCATATCTGCTTACAAAACTGAATATAGTGTAGACCACTGGCTTTTAAAGTATTCTTGTAGGCGACTTGAAGCTAAAGTAAAGTGTAATTTCTATAATCTTAAAAGCATCATTAGTATATATTTAAATCAGTTTTTAAAATACCATAATAATTTTTTATAGCATTTTTTAAAGGAAAAAAAGCCCTTTTAAACAAAAAAATGAAGTTGTTTTAGAGAACATTTTAGCAAAATTTGAGTTTTTATGGTATCATGTACTTTGATGGTGGGTGAAGAGAGTGTTGCTTTGGAAAAGGAAATACTGTTTTGAACCAGATCTTGAAGTTACTAGCAGATAGCAACTGGCGGAGAGAGGGTTGACTAGAGTTTCAAATCAAAGAAATGGGATGAGAAAAAGACATTGACATGGTATTAGCCAAGGTTATCAGAGGAATGAAACAGTAGATTGACTTGTTTGGAGGAATAACGGTATGAAATTAAGTTCAGAAAGAAAGAGTGTAGCCATGGTTTGAGTACTTTAAGTGAAAGGTTGAGAGGCTAAAGAACCACTGATCTTTTTTATTTCAGACTAGTCATTTGAGCTGTGGCATAAACAGATGAAAATGGCACTTTAGAACTCTGTGTAAAGATACCTTTGGAGACAAGAAATAACACTGAAGCCTATAAAAAAGACCAGACGTGAGACCAGCCACACAGTGTTGATTAGCCTTATAGTTACTGGCCAGAGAAAATATTCAGGATTCTTTATTTAAAGTATTAAGAATCATTTTATTGGATATTAAGCAGATACCCCCATCAGACCAGGAATTTTGTTTGACTTTCTGTAGTTATATTGTGCCCATTTCATATGCTGATGGTCTTTACAGTGATTACATAATTACTCTTGTTTTTCCTATCATTTCTAGATGTCACTGCTGTATGTATATTAGAAGGGTTTCAAAATCAACAAAGCATGCTGTTAGCTGATAAAGTTCTTAAACTTCTTGGAAAAGAGAAAGCCAAAGAAAAATACAAGGTAAAGAAATCTGAGTCAGGTAATGGGGGAAACAGTCTTTTCTCGCCTTGACACCTAAGGCGAGATGTAAGTCGAATGCCATGAGTACCACAGACATCACTAAACATTCCTGAAGAGTCACTGCTAAGGTTCATAATATTGAAGTACTTGTTCCTTTTGTCAAGAATAATAACTTGCTTTTCTCTAGAGTTGGTTTTAATAATTCTCTATTTAATTTTATGTCTCTGAATGTTAGCTAAACTAAAGAGAATTAATAAAGGTTTCTTCCCCATAGGACCTTACTTTATTAAGATATGTTGTGAAGGACTAGCAGATGGCATAATAGTTATGTCACTGGACTCCCACTTAGTCCACCATGGTTCAAATCCTGGACCTGGCAACTTAAAATTCTTGCTGGGCACATGCACATGCATCCCCGAAATCTTGAGAGGAGAACGGAGAAGGGAGCAGAGTGGCCATCCCCTTTAGGGGTTGATTTCTCGCTTTCTGTCTCTCTCTGTTTCTCTGATAAGCACGTGTGCCCTACAGCAAAAAATCTTTTAAGGAAAAAAAGATTATGTTGTGAATCTCCAAGAGGATATAACTGTGGTAGTTCCAGTCTTTTTGAACAGTATAACCTTGATTTTTTTTGTTTTTGTTTTTTATTGTCCTTCAGCATCTTAAAGGATTGCTGTTCCTCAGAACATTTTGTGAATCATCATGTTAGAGTCTCATAGGAGCCTATTTCTTTAAATATACTTATGTAAGGTTGTTTCAGGTGATTAGACTGGTTGGTTTGTAAGGTGATATAGGTAACAAATCATTTTCCATATATATTTTCTAATCTGTTTGTATGTCTCTTTGTAAATCACGAAATACTTTTTATATTATTGTTTGGATTTTTAAAACAGCACTATATGAAAAATAAGGACAAGTATTTCTGTTGTTAAGAGATGTGAAAGCTGAGACTCAGGGTTTAATGATAAGTAAGATCACATAGCTAATAAGTAGCAGAACTAGAATTTGTATCCTGTTCTCTGATCCTTAAGTTTATTACTTGAAACATGTTTTCATTTAAAATTTTTAGCTCTGTATGGAAGGCAGGGAAGTGATAGCTTTATTTCTAAGCTGAAATAGGGAACTTAAAAAGACATTAATGATTTACCCTGCTTCAAGTAAGTGCTGTTTAAATTTCTATTTAAACCTAGGTATATTTGTCACTTACTGGGTAGTCTCTTAATTTAAAATAATTATTTTTATTATCCTAGAGAAAGAAATTGAATCTTTCC